AAAAAAAAAAAAAAAAAAAAAATGGCATCTCTTTATGCAGTACAGCCTTGCCCTCAACTCATGATTCTCCTTCCCCTACCTCCTAAATAGAAGGAGTACTAGTCCATACCAGTACATCTGGCTTGTGCTTAAAATTTAATTTGAAAATTCAAAACTGTCAAAGTCTAAACACCTCTAAAATGTGGCAAGTTAGCAAAGTGTGATTAAAAGCATGTAATATGAAAGAGAAGTGAAAAGCTGTGAAGAAGAAAGGGGAAGTCTCTAGCTCCTAAGAGAAATTCCAGTGGACGTATATTAGGAGCAATGCCCTTCTGGAAGATCACAGACACATGTTTTTAAATTGTGAAGGTTTGGGCTGGAGAGATGGCTCAGTGGCTAAGAGCACTTGTTGCTCTTCCAGAAGACTAGAGTTCAATTCCCAGCACCTAATGGTGTCTTCCAACCACCTGTAACTCCAGTCCTGGGGAGTCTAATTTCCCCATCTGGCTTCTTCAGACATCAGGCATGCATATGGCACAAAGATATACATGTAAGTAAACATAAAATAATTTTTAAATTAAAAATTTAATTTTAATTTTAACTATGGTCTGCAAAGACCACAATTACTGATTTAAAAAACAAGATAAGTATAAACAAAATTAACTAAGACAAATTATGTATTTAGATAGATTGGTGTCAATTAAAAAAGTATTTCATGACAAAAGAAAGCCTCTGTTAAACACTAAATAAAGAGAAAATACCTAAAATGTTTTCTAAACATTTTCATTGTCAGAATGTTTCCTACAGGTAACAAAGGATTCCAGAAAATAACAGGACAATACCTTATAAAGGTTTGAGGACACTGAGTAAAATGCTTTCAGAGACTAAGAATATTTATAGACTCTAAATAGGTGAGGGTCTGTGTTTGCAGAGAGACAATGATTGTCAGCGTATAATTAAATATGATTTTGTGTGTATATGTAACACATACATGAATGCATCTGTATAAAATTTAGCTCCTAGATCAAAGGGGGAAGGTTACAGAAAAATTGATCATCAGATAGAAAGGGGGAAGAGAGCAAAAGGAAGGAAGGAAGGAGAGAGGGGGAAAGGAAAAGAGAAGGGAAGAGAAAGAGGGGAGGAGGAAAAGAAACAAACAAAAATGATAACCAGAAAACATAAGTAAAATAGTAGAAAATTCCAGATATATCAATAAATCAATGATCATAATAATATAAATGACATATTAACTGGCTATCAAGAATATGTATATTCAGTTTAGAGTGAACATATTAAAATGAAAGTATACAGAAAATTTGGAAAGGGGGCTTGAAAACAGGTATCATGTTAATATTAACTAAATGAAAAGCTTGTGTTTCAAACAGTCAAACGTTTTTAAAATAAAATAATTTATAGGAAAGTCAGTGGACACTAAATAATAAAATATTTTAAATTAAAAGTAACTGCAAAGACCATAATTATTCATTTATACATCTAACAATTTGACCTTAAATTTATAAAGCTTAAGCTAACAGAAGAGCAGCTAAAACAAATAATGATGGTGAGAGGTTTTAAATCTAGCAGAAATAAATAAAATAAAGCAAAATTAGAAATGTATTCTTGAGCATTCTCTGAGGGCCAGAACCAACATATTACACACATAACTGGATATCTAGAGAGCTGATTGACAGCTAGATTATACATGGACAGATCTTAGATAAATAGATAAGGTGAATAGATGATAGAGGTAGATAGATGGAGGGAGATAGATGTAGGTAGCTGGATAGATAACAGAGACATAATAGATATGTAAATGATAGATGATGATAAAAAGATAGATGATAGATAGATAGATAGATAGATAGATAGATAGATAGATAGATAGATAGATAGATAGGTGGATAGATAGGTGATAGACTGGTTGGTAAATAAGTAACAGATGATAGCTATTTTATGAATGATAGGTGCATACATATATACATAGATCCATACATACATCTAAGAATTGGGATTAATGGGGAATTGGCACATTAGATTTCTGAGGCTGAACAGTCCCACAGCAGACTGTCAGTGGGGTGAAGACCCTAGGACAATTGCAGAATGGCTCAGTGAAGCCTAAAAACCTTAGCACAGGGAAGTCAAATGGTAACTCTCAGTCCACAGCCAAAGGCCTAAAAAACTCAGGAGGTTATGAAGTACAAATCCTGGGGTCCAAAGGCAGAATACCCTGAAGTGCTTATGTTCAAGGGTAGAAGGGTGGCGGATACCCAAGAGAAAGGAAAGAGAATTAGCCCTTCCCCCTCTTTAGTCTCTCTGGGCCTTGTATAGTGCTCACCTGCATTGAGGCGAGTCTCTGAACTCAGTCCACTGACTCACACCCCAGTCTCATCCAACATCACTCACAGACACACCCAGAAGCAATGTGTTAGCTCTCTTAAGTAGTCCTTAATCCAGAAAGCTGACATGTAAAATTAATCATCACAGAAAACGCAGAAACACACTCTGGCAAGCTTTAATCTAAGGGCGTGAATAGAGTCCTATGCCGACTTCACAAACAGGAACATTTCTGTGCATACATAATGCATTGCAGAAGAAGTTCTAAGAATGTTTTATAAGTCTAAGAACACACATACCAAACTTTCATATGCTCGGCTACAATCTACACCAGTGCCTTTCAACCTTCCTGATGCTGCAACCCTTTGATACAGTTCCTCCCGTCGTGTTGACCCCCAACCATAAAATTATTTTCAGTGCTACTTCATAACTGTAGTTCTGCTACTGTTATGAATTGTAATGTAAATATATGATTTGCAGAATATCTGATATGCTACCCCTATGAAAGGGTTGTTCAACTGCCAAAAGGAGGTTGCGACCCACAGGTGTGAACCACTGACCTACACAGAAATTCTTGAGGAAAGGTCGTTAGAGGGAAGACAGAAGTGAAGGGAACACCTTCTAACTCATTTAGCCTAGAAATATTTTAAAACCCAGGTGGTCACACCTGTAATTCCAGCACTTGGAAGGTGGACACAGGAGTTCAAGGTCATCTTCAGCTGTTAAAAAAAAAAAAAGTTCCAGAGTGTTCTGTACATTCACAACTGTTTTTCCATTGCCTTTCCACCTTCCCCCAAGTGTGAAGCAAAGACAAATTAGGAGAGATTCAGTCTTGATGAGTAAGCATGTGATACTTTTGTGTTTATGGAAGCTGTTATTTTTTTCAAACTAGAACAGACATGATGGCACATGACTATAATCCCAGCACTTAAGAGGTTGAGATAGGATGATCATGAGTTTGAGGATAGCCTGGGCTTTGGAAGAACCAGGCCAGCCAGAACCTTTCTCCAAAATAAACAAACATACAAGTAACTACAGAGAACTTAGAGGGACAAAGGAGTCCTTGCACCTTTAAGGGGATAATTGATTGATTGGGTTTATCTCATCAGTCCACCAGTGGTTCTGGGCTTTGTTCCATTGAAGAAACTTAGATTTTGATATAAAATGCATGGTTACAAGTCCATTTTCCCAAGGCAAAATCCACAATACCATGAACTGACTCTTGTAAAGCTGTGGGGCTATATGGTCAGGCATGAGGTCTGAAAATGCTTCCATTGGCTTGCAACAGCAGCAACACATGAAGGACCAATTAGTTTATCACCAATCTGACCCCAATATGGCTTTGTTGTTGTTTGATTTGGTTTTCCTTTTTTTGCATTTTCATTTAGGGATTTTGTGTATGTGTGTGCATGAGTGCTTGTGTACACTGGCGTACAGAGAGTCAGAGGCTAATGTTGGGTGTCTTTCTTCATCACTCTCCAACTTAGTTTTTGAGATAGAGCCTCACCAGTCAACTATACAAGCTGGCCAGCGAGTCCAGGGATCCTCCTGTCTCCACTTCCCCTGCACTGGGTTTACAAGCATGCACCATCATGCCTGTTTTGTATGTTTGTTTGTTTGTTTGTGTTTGTTTTGTTTTTGTTTTTACATGGGTGCTGGGAATCAAACTCAAGTGTTCATGTTTTGAAGCAAACACTTTAGTGCCTGAGCCATCTCCCATCCATTATTTTTGATTTTTTTGAGACAGGCCTTCCTTACCATATGACATGATTAGCCTAAACCCAACATCTTCCCATCTCAGCCTCTGAGAGCTGGGATCGCAGTATGCACCACCATGCCCACCTTCCTTGAATTTTTT